TAACATTTCTGCATTTTAATTTACCTTATTTCAAATTTTGTCATTTAATCTCTCTTGAGCATATGAAGCCCTTTTCATGCAGTTCAAGAAATCTATATTGATTGGATAAGATATTTGAAGTTCTTTTTTAAAATATTTCGGGTATAGCAGTTGTATATAATGATATAATAGGATGAAGTTTCAAGTTTATTACACAAGTCAATTGTATTGGTAAGAATAAAGCTAGAAAACTTTCGGACCCTAGAGGAATACAAAGACAACAAAAGAAGCTGTTGTTTAAGTTTTAAGTTTAAGTGGATTCATGAACTTGTGATTTTGACAATTGTTACTTTGTTTTGGCATTACTTTATAGAAAATAACCCTTTATTTTATGCAATATATATTTCATCAGTAAGTTCTACTGCTCTCATGTTGCTCTCTCTCTCACACACACATTGACACTATTTTTTTGTTTATATATAGCAAGGCCAATGACTACTTGACTGTATGTTACACAAACATTTTAATTCTCTTTAAAATATTTCATATCATATTTGGAAGGTATGAAAATTTCCAATTGTATGAAAAGTTGAGCAACTATCCAAAATATAGATTAAAATATATTTGGGAATCAGAACCTAAATATTGATTAACATGAGTTAAATAGTTTAGGGATTAAAATGAATAAATTGATAACATAATGGACTAAAACTATTTTTTTTGAGTCGGTGACCAAAATCAGAGTTTGAAAACATTTATGAAGTTAGTCATGAGAAATAGAACAAATTTGAACTTCTTCTCTCAGAGCCAAATCCACTGGTGAGGGTAGTTGGCCATTTCCTTCTCTTCTAAATTTTAACACGCTTTAGTTTATATCTATAAAAGAAAAATTATTCTCTCCTCATATCGTTTACTTATTCTCTCTTCATATCGTTTACTCCTCATTTCTTCATTTCATTGCTTAGTTTCCATTTTTTTTATTTATTTTTCATTCTTTGTTTCTCCATTTGGTTCCTCAAAAGCAAAGTTTCTTCTTTCTTTCTTTCTCAATTTGAAAAACTGAAGCTTGCTATATCTCAAATCTTGGATCTTTAAAAGCAAGGTCTTTCTTCTTTTTTTGCTAAAAAAGATTAGACTTTGATTCTTTTTATGTCTTTGGTTTAAATTCAAACACCCATCTCAGCAAAAAAAAAAAAAGAAAAAAAAAGAATTTTGGTTTATTCATGGGAAATTGTTATGGGGCTCCATCATCAACAGCTTGAAGAAAGAGTGGAGAGGGAAAAAGAAGAAAAATCCATTTTCTATAGATTATGGTCAATGCCGACAAGGCAAGTAGGCCATAAACTCACCGTTTGACTGATCGTTGCTAGAGGTCATTATACTGAGAGAGCTTCCACCAAGACCATTATTCAAGTTGTTCTGGTATTTTCTTTCTTTCTTCATTTGGTTATGGGGACATTGTTGGATTTCTTTGTGGCCTAAACTAATGGAATTTGATTAGCACATGCTCCGAGTTTTGATGAGATACATTTTGTGTTTCTTTTTACATTTTTGCGTGATCTTGAACTTTTCCCTCTTACATATATACAAGTTCAGGTTTCCAAATAGCTTGCAAAACTAGTTTCTTGAAGTGATTAAACCAAAATGGTGCCCAAAACTTTGGATTCCAAGGGCTTGCTTTGATCTAAGTTGTACAGTATAGCCTTAAACACGTCTATCCTGAGCAAACATTCAACCATTGGTGGGTTTACCAATATTTAGATGTTCTTATAATCATAATAGAACGCCTTGCAAATTACAATATTTCTTTGCAAAAATGTTGTTAAAGAAAAACTCGTTTCACTGTGCCTTTAATTATGATCTTAAGCTAGTATTAGTGCAGTTTTGCTATTACAGATGTGCCACAAACATGGGGTGATGCATAGAGAACTCAAACCCGAGAACTTTCTTTGTGCCACAAACATTTGGAGCCTTCTTTGTATTTTGCAACCAGTGATGATCTAAATTTAAAAGGCAAGAAACGATTCGGTTTAGGATTCATATATTAATGGAAACACGATTTTGCTTAGAAACTTTATCGGATGCTAATAGAACTTTTGCGAACAAAAAAGCTTTGTTATTAGAACTAAAACTTACCTAGTACTTCCTGAGCTGTAAGTCGGTGCTTGGGGCCAGGATTGAGCATCTTCTTGAGATGCCTTGTCAAACAAACAGTGACGTCATTAGCACCGCCATTCATGATGTCGACACAGACAAGGTTAGAGAGATTTCTTTTCGACTTCTTCCTGTTATATCATTGCATCTCTCCGGAATCCGTGATGCTATAACCGGAATAAATCGAAAATAAACCATTATGATTCTAAACCTTCATTAATTTTTTCCTGAACCCGAGAAATGTAATTTGATTTCTATGCATATGAAATCATGTTGAATCTACTACAGGATGGGAGGATAAGTTACTATAAGTTTAGGCCAGTACGGATTGGAGAAAAGCATGGAGGCAATATTCGCGAGAGAGGTTTAACAGTCTCAGCCTGAAATTAAGGATGGATCATTGCAAATGAACAGTGAGGCTAGATGACCCAACAACATTGACAAAGTTGTATTAACGAAAATGCCTGTTGATTTCATAATTTTTTGAGCTGATATTTATTTATTGTCCTGGAAGAAAAAAAGTTACTTAGTGTTTACTAGACATGCACAAATTCGGATAAAAAATCGATCCGGATCGGATAAAAACCGATCCGGTTTTTTCACTTAGCCAAAAAATTGGTTTTTAAAAAAACCGGTTCGGATCCTAACCGGTTTGGAGGGCCGGATGGTGTAACCGGTTTCGGTTTGAAAAAAACAAGATTTTTAAAAAAACTGGATATAGAAAAACCGGTAATTGTAGCCATGATGAACAAAAAATTACAAAAATAAGATTTGAGAGATTTTCAAGTGTTGTGTAATAAGATTTGAGAAAGTTGTAATCAACCAAATACATCACAACCTATTTATACATGTTTAGGGTGCGTAAAATTGTGATTTTTTTAGAAAAAAGGTCAAAAAACGGTCACAAACCCCCCCAACGACTATATTAACGGCTAGCTTTTAAAACCCCAGATCGGATTTTTTTCCATATAAAAACTGGGTTTTTTCAAACCGGTTTTTAATCCGGTAAAAAAACCGATCGTCCAATTTTTTCCGAAACCGGTTATACCATCCGATTTTTAAATATCCGATATGGTTTAAAAAAACTGGTTTTTCCCAAATCCAGTTTCAGATATTTTTTGCGCAAAATCGGATATTCGAATTTTTTGTACACCTCTAGTGTTTACTAGGATTGATTCATGCCAAGGGGTATATTGGAAATTTCCATTTGTTTGGTCAGTTTGGTCACCGAATTAACAGAATGAATAGCCCTAGTGTTGGATATAGATATATGCCTTTGATGGTTGCATTCAAAATTGTGTTTATTTGGAAGATTTCTTAACATGTATATTTCATACTAATATTTCTGGAACCACTGTGCCAAGGGCTGCATGGATAATCTTGAAAATGCATTACATAGATTGCATAGGATCATTTAATAATTCAAAGTAAGGTAAATTACACAATTGATCACTAATGTTCGAGTTTTTTGCTTGTCCCACTAAAGTTTTAAAACTAATGAATTGATCACTAATGTTATTAATTTATAACAAATCAATCACTAGATGTTAACTATCGTTACTGAGATGGCATAATACTGACATGTCATGTTTTTTCTTTTTCGACATCATTTAACCACATGAAATAGCCTTTTCAATCAACCCTTCTCTTCAATCTTCACTCTCCATACTTCAGGCTTCTTTTCACATCAAGGAAGACGAAAATGTTGTCTTGCAAGGTTAACGTGTGTGACTGAACCAGCACCAAAGTTGATATCCCGATCCCTGGTCATGGAAAATGAGCCACTATGAAACTCTACCTATCCACAACTTTGGTATACAACTCAACACGTAAGAACTCTCTATTTGACTTAGAAATTCTCAATTTCACACGCTCTTAATTTAGGGTTTAAGGACCAAAATGAAACTCTCTTAAATAGTGATTTGAACACTTCAATGAAAAAAGCTTAAGATGGCTACTAAAGAATTTGATTTTGAAATTAAAATCATTTTTAATTTTTGACATAATTTAATGACTATTTATAAATAGGGTGAAGAACGCAAATGATCCCTTGAGTAGAAGGTATCGTTTTATTAAGTTCATAGACTATTAAAAGTTATAAAATGGTCCTTCGATTATGGATTGTTGCTTTGTTGAGTCTCTCGACTATTAAAAGTTATAAAATGGTCATCCGACTATTTATTATGTTCCAAACTCATCATTTTTTGTTAAAAAATTGGTGTTTGTTTAAACTGGATTTTAACATGATGACTGAGATATAATAGTCTGATTTTGAGATCTAATTTGATCATATCACATTCAACAAGTTACGTTCCGCTCAGAATTTCGTCAATTTTTAACGGAAAATGACAAGTTTGGAACATAATGAATAGTTGGGTGACCATTTTGTAACTTTTAATAGTCGAGAGACTCAACAAAGCAACACTCCATAGTCGAATGACCATTCTGTAACTTTTAATAATCGAATCACTTAATAAAGTAATACCCTATAATCGAAATACTATTTGCGTTCTTTACCCTTATAAATATTATTCTATAAAATTAGTGGTACATATCAAATATATCTAGATAAAACTTTTCTCCGAATATATAATAATTCATTCTAATATAATCTTATTTGTATACCAAAAAGGTGGATTAATTTTTTTTCTCTGACGGCAATAGCAGCAATGATTGTGTCCAGTTTAATGACAGAACATTTGTAGTAAAATGTGGGACACAACCATATCCTATATCGATGAATTAGCATGTACAATTATCAGTACCATTTATTGAAGATCCCATGTGAATGAACATATAGTTAGGTCTCTTCTTTGTCCTAAAGATTTTATTTCTCACCATTGAGGAATCTATCAAAACACTATCTCTCACACATTACTTAACTCTGTTACATTATCTGAAGCCGCATTGGCGACATCTGGATGCTTTTCCATGTCGTTTATGGAAGGGTTATATTGTTGGATAACCAAAATGGATGAAGTAGTGGAGAAGTCCGATGAGGCTAAATAGCTCCCCACATGGCCTAGTTCTGGACAATCCGTACTCCGCTCCGACAAGGGCATTGCCGGTGACGTTCTTCCGACCAAAAACAGTGTAGAGCTGTTCATTGATCTCAAACCAGCAATTATTTCTTCTTTGCTTCCCATTGTTATCTCTTCACGTTTTACAGACTCGTTCTTTAGCTTGAAGGTAACTAGCTCTGAGATGATCTCTTTGTCTTTTATGGATTCGGTTGAGGCATCGGCCCTGGAAGGATCCGGTTCTGTTTCGGGCTTGGTAGTGAATTTTAGGACAGTGAGCTTGATTCCAGGATGCTCGGCCATCCTCATTCCGTATGAAAGTGCTTCACGGTCGTCTTGGCCGCCGAAGAAAGGAACAACCACCGAGTACGACACTTCACTGGCGACGACTTGAGTGGTGCCACCAAGCCCACGGTCAACAAGGATACCGACCGAGCAAGGGGCATGTCTGAGGACACGTTGGTTGACTAAATCGAATGAGTGTCCTAAAGACTCCATTGTTCCATCTACTCTTTGATGCTTGTGGAATGGCATGATAATCAACGCAGCTCGCTTTCGTTCTGCACAGGTGCAGATGTCTTCGTGTATGCTATGCAATGGTGAGATTGCGGTCATGGGGCGGATAACGACACTTCTTAGCTGCAGATATGCCTCGAATGCAATCACCATTTGATCATGGTCCCCACGTTTCTTGTTCCAGAAGGGTAGTCCGTTTTTCCGGGCTTTGTGGATCATCGAAATGGCTGATGACCGTTCCGATAGTTCCATAAGATGCATAGCGTATACACAGAGCTGTCCCTTCTTCCGAATCCCTCGAGACGACTCGATCAGATTAATCAACGTTGGGATGTTACGAGTACTATGGAAACAAGCCAGGACCCGAAGCTCGGTATCGAGGTCTTTCCGCTGAATCCTTCGATGCTTGTAAGGCGTTCCCTTTCTGGCAGGCTTGTAAACCGCCATCACAATTGGTGTTGTGATGAAGGTTGTGAACAATGCCATTAGGACTAGGATAGCGAATGATTGGTCTGTAAGCACCTGCAAATGGAACACCAGTTAAATTAGTATCTATGTTGTGGAGCATTTTTAAAAAGAAGTAATTTCAAATTCGAATATATATATACCTTGCGGTCCTTGCCGATATTGAGGACGATTAGCTCGACGAGGCCTTTGGTGTTCATAAGGAAACCAAGTGACAAAGCTTCAACGAAAGGTACCTTGAACAACATTGCTAAACCAACTGTGCCAACAATCTTCCCTAAACAAGCATTGAATATAACAAGCACTAGCAAACCCCATGATTGTGCACCTTTTATAGTTGTAACATTGGTTTTCAATCCACTAGATGCGAAGTAAAGCGGCAAGAAAAGCCCCGAAACTAGATCTTCGATCTTCTCTATCAACACGCCGGAAAATGGACCGTCTTTCGGCACTATTATGCCGACCACGAAAGCACCAAACAGTGCATGAATCCCTATGATATCCGTGATGAAACCTGCAGCCAGTACTAGTGATAATGTAATACAAATGTAGAGCTCCTTCACTGGCTCACCATCAGGGGATCGCCTAGCCATCACTGAAAGTATCGGTTTCAGTACGAAAATGGAAAACACAATGAAAGCCATTCCACAAAGGAGTACCCATAAGGATACGAGAGGAGAACTTTCGGATCCCGAGAGTGCAATAGCGAGTGCGAGAAGTATCCAAGCCACAACATCATTGACAGCAGCTGCAGACATTGCAATCCGCCCGACATCGGTCGTTAGGAGCTTGAGCTCAGCCAGAATACGAGCGAGGACAGGAAACGCCGTTATAGAGAGAGCAACGCCCATGAAAACAAGGAAGACCATGTTGCTAACTCCTTTGTTGATTGTGGAACGAAGAACAAAAGATGTACCAATGCCAAAAATAAATGGAAGAGTGATCCCTGCAGCGGCTATTACCATGGTATTCTTTCCGGTGCGACGAATTGCTCGAATGTCGAGCTCGAGTCCGACCAAAAACAAGAAGTAAAGGAGGCCAATGTTGGCTAAGGTCTCCAACACGGTCATGCTTTTCTTGGGGAAAACTATGTCTAGAAACTTTTGGTTTCTTCCCAAGGCTGAGGGACCAAGCAAAACTCCTCCCTGGAAATACATATAACATTTACCATGTAAATTGAATAATCATTCACCCATTTTTCCAGTAGAATTTAAATGTAATAACAAGCAAGAGTAAGGTGAAAATTACTTACAATGATCTCTGCAATGACTCTAGGTTGCCTTAAAGGTCGAAGAGCAAAAGTAAGGAGTCGGCTAACACTGACCACCAAAATTATCTGAACGATGAGCAATGGAAGAGCGAAATCGAGTGGATTTTCGTTCTGGAAAGCTCCGTTCGACGTCGCCTTCATCGGCGCTGGACAAGAAGGGGCAGCTTTGGTAGCCATTTTTGAACCAACTTTAGCTAACAAAGAGCAAAGATAAGTATGAGATAACTCAAAGGGCTACACCCCGTGATCACTTGAGTAGTTTCTTATGCATGATGATTCAAACTACTTTGTTTATTGGCAACGAAATCTTAAGTGTAAATCTGAACATGTCCAAAAGAGTAATTGATTTAGTAATGCATGAAATGTAAAAAAAGGCATGGGAACCTGATCAACCGGCTAGGTAAAGGGGATTTGTTGAGGAGATTAAAACACTTTAATGATGTTTATGCCATTGAAAACACGTCTGCTTTGCCTACCTCTTTTTCCCGTTTCAAACTCGATAAATATGGGAAACAAGTGCAACTTCGAACCGTACTAATTACTATTTATAGTTTTATTATAGGGTAAATTACACAAATTGTTCCTGGCTATAGAGAATTGTTTTGTTGAGTCCTCTAACTATTAAAAGTTAAAAAATGATCCCTCAACTATAGGGTAATGTTTTGTTTAGTCCACCATCTATATTAAGAGTTACAAAATGATCACTCGACTGTTCATATATTCCATAATGACGATCATCTGAACTGAAAATTAACCTACTGATTGGGATACGATAAAATCATATTTTAGTGATGTCTCCTGGCACCATCATTGCTTTCATGCATTGGTTCGCCAACATAATGTTTCAAGTACTAACTCGACGACTTAATGTAAACGGAGAGTCGATCCATAAAATACAACTCAAATAATTCTATAATCTTATTTTATCATATCATAATCAACATGTTAACATCCAGCTCAGACGACTGTTAATTTTTTATGAATAGTTGATTGACCATTTTGTAACTTTTAATAGTTAGGGGACTCAACAAAAAAAATCCTATAGTCAGAGGGGTCATTTTGTAACTTTCAATAGTCAGAGAACTCAATAAAACAACGATCTATAGTTAGGGGACCATGTGTATTTTACCCTTTATTATATTAATAGATAATATTGTATCATATTTTATTGGTAAATAACATTAGTGTTCCCTTATTTCTTTTTTTGAGTTTGTTTGATATTGGTTATCGGTTTTGAAAAAGTTTGGTTTTGTCAATTTTTTTATCGGTTCGTCTTATTTTGATTACTAGATTGTTAATTTCCGCTACTTTATTGACATAGCATGTTAGTAAAAATTATTAAATTTTAACTGAATCCCCGATACCACTTGTTTGGGTGAAGGTTGCGAAGGTTGATCCATTGGAAAACATGGACGATTGGTGGGATGACCTTTGGGGTGTCTAGTATCGAAAGCTTGTCCTATTTCGTTGTGGGCACCTCCATCTACTGGCTATTGGGCTAACGGCTTATATGACTTGTAGCACATTATGATTATGGTTTAGCTGAGCAGTTAGCTAAAGCTAGTTGAGAGTCTGTTAGAAAGGTTGTTATAGATAACTGTGTGAAATGAAGGTTACAAAAGTAGTCTTCCTCTATCGTGTAAAGTCAAGTGATTTTCAATGAAAAGTTGTTACACTTCCTATCTATTTCTTGTAAGCTGAATATGGTATCTTTCGCCAAAAGTTCCTAAGGTTCAGCTAATTCTTGCTTCTGCTATTTCCCCTACTTCTTGCTTCAATGGAGTTTTCTGGGACTGCTGGTAAAACTTTTACAAACAAGAAGGTGAACATAATCTTCGATGAGTCGATTTTTTACTGTGGAAAAAGCAAGTTTTACTTACTGTTCGTAGTCATCAGCTAGAACGCATACTGACTGGGTCTTTACAACCTCCGCCTGAAACTGTGGTTATGAAAATGGTGGGACGGTTATGAAAATATGGATGAAGCCGCTTATTTCCGTCCAATGATGTGTAGAAAAGATCGAGTGAAAATGAGATCTACCGTTTTCTTATATATGCAGCCACCGGTGCCAGTTTTAGGGCTCAATCAAGGCCTCGGTAGCAATACAAGATATGGGTTTGTCAGACTTTATCATTCCTCCGGGTCAGAGGGAATTGCGAGACCTAGCTACGCCCTTCTTCCATAAGAGTAGGAATGTATACTAGAAGCCAAGAAGCTTGTGAACAAACCAGAGAGGGGACAAGGACAGTGAACCTCCAAAGTGAAAACTACATTACCTGCTTTCTCAGTTCGTCAGAGCGAAAACAACAGCATTTGTTTAGAGCACAAAATAAATAAATAAAACATTGTCGATAACTTTGACTTTCAATCCTACAAGTGTCCGCAGTACACGTGTAGGTTTCACTTTCCATTTCCTAACACAAACTGGTCAATGATTCATTTCCTAATTCGCTATTTATATTTTTAGAGTTTCTTATTATTAGCTTTCTGATGAAGCAAGAAAAGGATAATTTTATTGTATGAGAGCAGTGATTTATATAGCATACAAATCAGAGTGCAAAACATGTGAAATGCTAACCAACGAAGTAACAAACTTATAATAACCCCACGCAACATAAATATAATAATCCCATAATAACCTGAACCTTCCAGCAACTACCTGAATCTTCTAGCCACAATACTCATTCGCTAACATTCTCCTTGCTCTTCACCGTTTCGACACTTTGTTCTACAGAAACATGCGAACGAAACACAAAAAAACTAGGCTTGGTGAACGGCTTAGTAAATCCATCTGCAACCTGATCATCTGTAGACACATAGTTCACTATCGATGTTCTAGCTGCCACCTTCTCCCTAACAAAAAGTACGTCCAATTCAACATGTTTACATCGCGCATGGAGCACTGGGTTTGTACTAATCGCAACAACACTCGAGTTATCGCATCATATTTTTGGCACTTCTGCGCACTCAACACCCATGTTTAACAACAAGGTCTTCAGCCACGCGACCTCAGAGACAGCATCCGCTTGGTGTGGTGCTATGATACCATATTAGCTTTTTCATGAAGCAAGAAAAGGATATTATTTGATATTCAAATAATTGTGTTGAATATACTTATAAAATCATTTGTAAAATCTTAAAATTCATTTAAACTTAATTTGTTATATCGAAACACAAAAATATTTTCAACAGAAACATTGAGTTTCCTCGCATGGACATGGAATTGTATCCTCAAATATTGAACTCGACACGTTTAAGCCTATAATGGGTGAGGATCGATGGTTTAGCAAGCCAAAGGGGTACCAACAAAGGACAATTCGAGGAGCCTATTAGAATATTGAAACTCTGCTTGTTTCATATTGAATCTATGTTTGCGGTTCTTTAAAAGTCACAAAAGGGAAACTCACCCTAACCTTTTCCTTGAATTTATTTATTTTATAAAATCATGAAAATTAAAAGAGTATATGGTTAGGTTTATTTTTTCCGAACAAGCATGCAAACTAGATGGCATGAGGTTATGATTTATATGTCGAACAAAGCATGAGGGTAGAAAACATGTTTAGGTAGGACTGTTATAAAAGCATTTCAGGGTAGATACTATGTTGGGTAGGATCTTTTCCTTTCATAAATATTTCTTCTGCTTTTAGGGTACTAATAATTTCTTTTGTTTTATCTTATTTGTACATGCCTTATGTTTGCATTTGAATTTTCACATCATAATCAAACAAAGTGTTAATTCACAAGTGATTGATCAAATCAGAAGGCTTTCATATCGACATAAGAGTTCCATAACTAGATAGTCAAATTCATAAGGGTGACGACTTACAAACAAAGTTGATATATGAGAGAAAAGCTCAAAGATGGATTAAAGACTCTCGTTAAACAAAGATCAAGATGGTACCAAATAGTTAGATGCTAGTTGAGTTAAGAATGAGAAGATCCTTCTTGGGATATCAAAGTCACTTTCCTCACGGAGAATCCCATGGAAATAGAGGTATAAAGATCCAACAATCGCAGTAAATGAAGAAAATGAAGCTCGTCTGTCTGGTGTAAGGAAAAATTATGGTTTGATGAAGGTTGTTCTATGGTGGTTACTTTTCGAAATTAACATCTTGTCTATTTGCATTTGAATTTGCATTCATATTCTCATTTTGTATTAGCTTATTAATTTATTTCTCTATTTTCTTCTATAATAATTCTAGTCATCTTATTATCTTACTTGTACTAACTTATTTTTATGTTGTTTTCTTTCTTCTTGCATCGCATGATCATGACATAATCAAGGTGTTTATTTGTGAGTGGTCATCATAGTAAAAGGTTTTCATGATGGACAAATGGTTTCATGATGAAGTAAACTATAATACAAATAGGGAATGACATCCTGAAGAAACTCTAAGAACAGTAGAGAGCTATGCGCCAGAGGATCGTGTGTTCTAAGAAAAGCAAAAGGAGATAAGTGAGATAAAAGAACAAATTTCCAAGATGATGGATAGAATAGCTGCTTTGGCCAAAGGAAAAAAAACTTATGCAAAAGGAAAAAAAGAGTTCGATGAAAACAATCCCACGGTGTTAAATACACAAAGGATTACTTTAGAACAAGTTGTTTCTAGTCGATCTAAAAAATCAGTACAATCATCATTCGTATAAACAAGTTGTCTGGAGACACCAAGGAAATGGTGAAAAATGTAGAAGTTCAGAAATTTGAAAAGAAGTCATGCAATCAGAACTCGTTGGCGTCTGAGAGTCTACTCCCAACGTCAGGGGGAATAGACACGAAGTCTCCTGTTTAATCCAAGCTAAAAGGTGGCTCTCTTTTTGATTATATCCTTATACCATATAAGGAGTTTTATGATAAGCTTTTAGAAGCTCGGGAGGTGGCCCTGCATTATTTGAAACCTTGGTAACCTCTACATACAAATTGGTATGACGTCAGCGTTCATTGTGAATATCATGCCGAAGCTCAAGGATATTCCATTGAAAATTATACTGCCTTCAAGCATCGAGTCCAGCTCCTTTTGGATCATGGAATATTACAGTTTGAGATGAAAGGTCGACCTAGTTTGGTAGCTAATTGTTCTGTTAAGGTGGAGCCTATTGTGTTTAAAGGTAAAGGAATTGGTGGGGACATCTAGGAGGAAGAAGATTTTCTAATATACAAAGCTCAAGTTCGTCATTTGAGGAGTGAAAGTGATAAACTGAACAGAGAGATGGAAGCCATACGTGATGATTTTCAAAGGATC